TTGACACCATTTAGAGGTATAAAGCTCTGACCTTGATGAAGTTCTTCTTAGATCTAGTTTATTCATGGTTTTGTGTTCTTTTGGTCCCATAAGCTTGGTATTATGAGTATGGGTTACTCTAATCCATTTGAGTTGTCCTTTCAGACGTTTGAGGGTGTTTAGAAGCATAAAAATGTGATCTTGGCCATTATATTTAGTACATGCATGTGTTAGGTTGTCTTAATGGGCTAAGAAGTTAAGGTTTTTAGTATTAAGCACTTATTGGCCATGCTAGACCATAAAGTTGGAAACTTTATGGTTAAGGAAATCATTTGAGGACTAGATTTGGGTTTTGGACGAAGGAGCTTAAGGGATAAAGCTCTTAATGAAGGAAAAGGTGGCAAATGCGTACGATGAGCCTACCAAGGGGTACGCTACACATACGCAGTCAGCAACTCGATCCTTGGTCAAGGCTCATGTATGCTGAGCGTACAAGCTGAGTACGCCGAGCGTACTCAACTGAGTTGACTCGGTTGACTTTGACATTTGACCATGATTTTGACCAAGTTTGGCCTAGGGGTATTTTGGGCTATGGTTTGAGACTAGGTCATTTTTTGTTGTATATATGACTTATAGAGTTGGAGTGCGGATTTGTGTTGTGTTTATCTATCTTTGGACTGTGAGGTGAGTTCTTTTTCACTATACATATATATATGGGCCGAAGGCGCCAATGACGGCCCACTGGATCATGGATCCTGGTATATTGGATAGATGTTATTATGAGTATATGTTAGATTGATAGATATGTATGATTACCTGTATTTTTCTATTATTGATTATGTGATATTTTATGGTTGGTTGGGTTGAGACGGTCCTGCTTTGTGAAAGAGGCCAAGATACCCAGGGCGGTCCGGACAAACTGAAGGCCTACGAGGCGGTCCAGTCAGGTCGAAGGCCCGGAGAGCGGTCCAGATGGGCTATAGGCCCGCGAGGTGGTCCAGTCATGTTGAAGGCTTTGTTGTGCATATTGTTATGTGTTTGGTTTTGTGTGGTACTTTGGGGGAACTCACAAAGCATTGACTTACAGTTTCAGTGATATGTTTCAGGTACTTCTGAGGATCGGGGCAAGGTGAAGGCTTGATCGGGCACATCTTCTTGGATTTTATGTTGTTATGATTTTGGGATACTTTGATTATTGATTATAACTTTTGGAAAACATATTTTGTAAACATTTGTGGCTTTGGGTTGGTTTTGAAAAATGAATTTTATCTTGATTTTTGGGATGTTACAATGGATAAACCCACGCTCAGAAAATTACTTCATGGATTATATCATGAGTAATTCTGAGACAATAATATCTTATATTCTTGAAACGGAGATATATGAGTTGTAATTTACAAGTCGGTTGTGCATTGGTGTTATGAAAATGCATCAGTAACATGGTGTTATAAAACGCAGTATCATGTGTGATTTGGTGAGTAAAGGATACAAGCATATAAGTCAAATTTTATTCGTTCCGTTTGCCCTAACAGGAAAAGCTATATCTTTGGGCCCCTCGGTGATTTGGTGTTGACTTATAGTGTTGGGCCCAGCCAGGACTCCATTGATGTGTTCAATTTGAAGTCTTATGATGTCATCACAAATCAGAAATAAAGAAACAATACTTTGTATAATGAGATTGATTCTGATCCATGTCTCATGTCTATACGATATCTTGTAGAATGGAGGAATATTTGATCACTTATCTTAGGACCAATGTGTGATTAGATTACAGTTCGGCGGATACTTTGGAAGCACACTTTGTTGGTTAATTTAGAAGTTGTAATTTAGTAATATACTTATCCAATTAGGAGATTGTTGGATTAGATGTCTAAGCTATTAACTAAATTATTATAAACTTAAATTATTAGCAAAGTCCTTTTCGGTTGCCCTCAAACCTAGAAATTGACTGAAATGTTTTGGAGAGAAATGATGATTTATTAATTTATTATATTATTAATAAACTAACTAGAAATCAAAATAAATAATTTATTAATATGTTTTGAGAAAAATATATTAATTAGAAATAGTATTAATTAATTAAGAATTAATCAGAAATTAATTGGAATTAATTTTGGGATTAATTGGATTAATTAAAAGTAGAAGGAATAAAAGTGACAATGTTCAAAAGTTGAACATTGAATGATTCTATAACCTACCTATGAGAGGGGACAGTTCTAAGGGGTTAAAGGAGCCTTTCTAAGGTTTCTAGGAAGCCTTGGATTGCTTTGGGAGGAAGAAAAGGGCTAGGGTTTTCCATATGGAAACATGCCTTGTATGCACCACTATAAGCCCTATAAATACCCTAAGGCTTTAGGGTTTTCGGAATTCACTCTTCCAAGAGCCTCAAGAGCCGAAAATCTCCTTTTACATCCTCTCTCGTCAATAGCCTTCAACTTCTAGGGTTTAGGTGTGAGTCATCAGAGGCATGAGATTTCTAGTGCTGGCTTTCTAAAGTTTTACATAGAAGGATTACTAGTTTTTTTACAATAATAAACTAAAATGTATGTTTTCTATTATCCTTTCTCCTAAATCGAAAATAGCAATGTACTTTAGGGTTCTTGAATTCAAATTGTTGTTTGCATATCATAGTAAGAACATAGATCTTTTAGGTTATATGTGAACTTAAGGTTTTAGGTTTTCCGCAAAATATGAATTTTGTAACCTATAAAACCCATCAGGTAGGTCGGTGATTGTGGTAATGGTGTTGGGTGGGTGGGTGTGTTTGTGAGTGTGTGTGTGTGTGTATGTGTGTGTTTATGGGGTGTATATGTGTGTGCATGTGGGGGTGGGGGTGGATGTATGTGTGTGTTTGTTTGTAGGGTGGGTGTATGTGTGAGAGTTTGTGGTGCGTGTGTGTGTGTTTATGGGGTAGGGGTGTGTATGTTTGTAGGGGTGGGGTGAGGTGGGGTGTGCGTTTGTGTGTATGTGTTTGTGGTTGTGTGTGTGTGTGTGTGTGTGTTTGTGTGTCTGTGTATGTGTTTGTGGGGGTGGATGTGCGTGTGTGTTTGTGTTTGTGTATATGTGTTTGTGAGGGTGGGGTGGGTGGGGTAGGGCTTGGAAGTGGGTTGGTAGGGGTGTTAGGGTAAGGGTAGGTAGAGGTGGGTGAGGTGGGAGTGGTTGTGTGGTTGTATTTTAGAAATATATTTGGAATTTGAAAAATATGGAAAACAATAATTATTAGTTTTCTAAACTTTTCATAGTTCTTTGAAATTTTGGAAAACAGAAAATTTTAATTTTCCATGAAAAATTAAAAAAAGTTGTTGAACTAAATGCGTTTTCAAAATTTTTATTTTTTCTTGAAATTTTTTTCTGGAAAACAACTCATTTTTCCGTAACTAAACGCATCCTAAGAATTTTGAACTCAATGGTTATTTCAGCAAAGTAAAAAACGTATAAGTTTACTTTTTTTTTTTTAATCATTTTCACCAAAACTTTGCTCAACTTGAAAACCAAAATACGATCGGGTTGTGTGATCCTCCTATGATCTTCCTTCATCAAGCTCCATTTAATCCTTGACCTCCTTAAGCTTTTCCATGTCGTTTGCATTCATATTTATACACGTCATAAGAAGTCATTTATCATTGCAAATCTTAATTATTTTATTTTTCAAAAATTTTGCTAATCCTTGGTTATCAAGCTATGGGAGTGGAGTGCGTCAAGCCCCTCATCAGGCACGTCAAGCTCACCAAACACCACATCTGGAGCATGCCAAGGGGGTCGCTAAGCTAAAGACGTTGGTTCATCGTGGAGAGGAGAAAGGAGAGTGATGGTGCTGGGGTGACCATATTCAAACCAAATTCCAACCATTTTTTGTAAAACTTAAATCATTTTTTGTTAATATATATATATATATATATATATATATATATATATATATATATATATATATATATATATATAACTTTCTTCCAACCACTATAAATACAAACTTAAACTTCAACATTTCACCACACAATCATTTATTAAGTCGCGTTTTAAGTCTAGTATTAAGTCGTTTATTAAGTCATGCTTTTGTAATCAAGTATTTTAATGTTAAAATGTTTGTGTTTTTAATTAATAGTTGTAAAAAAATAAAAAATAAATAATAGTGATTTTAGAAAATGATGTTGCATTCTACACACATCACCGCTCCATAACATCATGTTATGCTCCGGTGGCTTGTTTAAAAAAATAATATTGCAGCATGTAAAGCACACCACGAGTCCCTCTAGTCTCATGATAGTAACTTTTAAGCAAACATGTATCTACCTTGGACTAAAAGAACCATGGGTAACAGTGGGAAGTGAAGTGGGAGTGTTTAGGGATTTGACCAAACTCATTTGTTTCTGTGTCACTTTGAGGTATACCAGGGGGGTTAGAAGGCGAAGGTAGGGGTTCAATATTTTTAGACAACATTTGTAGAGTCATGGATATGGATGGTCTAAGTGATGGACCTTCTTGTGTGCAAAGAAGCCCTATTTGTATCACTTCGTATCTCCCTCTTCATGCTGCTACTGGTGTCATCCTTCAACATTAAGTTTGGATGAAAAAGCTTATCCATTATGTCTTGATGTTTATGATTAAATATGAATTTATTGTCATACACCAAAACAAGTGTGTCTTGATGTTTATGATTAAATAAAGGACTCGGTTACTTACAATTGTAAGCAAGCTGCGAGTGTCATCCGTTGTTTGTATTCCTCTGTTTGGGATTCCGGTAACCACCGCACACCAAAGCTATACACACGCGTCTCTCTTCCATCAGGAAGAACTCCGTGTGACAAATTGCATTGTGTAATGTGATTCTAGTCATTTGGTATCTCTAAAACAACATAAACCTATGCGCTACAAATAATGCATCAGACACAAATTTATATGCACCAAATCACATATGAATGATTGATAGTTTAAAAAAAAAATCCACCTGAAACAAATTAAGGGTGTTGCATAGTATGTAGAGATAAATAAATAAAAAGATAAGACTGCTAAGAAATCCACACTCACTCATCCATGCGATTAATATCTCGATACTCATGGGGAAAATACCACATGTCATCTGTTTGAAAAAATCTTTCATTTCCACAAAGGTCCTCAACTCTACTCATTCGAAATCCTTGCTGCCACCACGACTGAGGTTTAACAACAGCACCTTGACTCCTGTAGCAAAGAAAGAAAGCATATTCTTGACTTGTATTTTCGTCCAGCACGACCCATTTCATTTCACCAAAATCTAGTTTGTGAGCCTTGATCTGAGGTTGTGAGCAGAAGACCGTGGGATTCTGCAGCACATAGAGGTTTTCACCCGAACATACCAAATCCACACGTGTGAAACTCGGAAAATTCTTGATTTCGAGTAACGTTATATTAGACTCCTTGGGATCGAGTTTCATTACACCTATAAATTTCGTTTCATGATTAATTAAAGTACCATAAGCGTGTAGGGTATATATCTTCCCCTTAAAAAAATGTAAATGTTCCATGGGGACAGTGGAGGAGACATGATTCCATACTCCTCCTCTAGAAAACCATATTCTACGGGTGTATTCAGGTAGCGCCACAAACACCCAACTGCCACCAGATATTGAAGGTGAAAAGACAAGTATAGCCGCGACCTTTCGTGCGAAAGCATGATAAATGAGATCTACAGGGGCATCTGGGAACGAAGTTCATGCCTTGTGATAAGGTTCACAAGCCAGAAGTCGTGGGTTCTATGCTCGTACAGGATAATGTAACCACAAGTTACTCCAACACAGATCGACCTCCCGGCAGAATGGGGAACAACGGTTTTAAACTTTCTTCCGTCGGCGTCCTTTAGGTGGCAACACCACTCTTCATCATTCTCAAACTCATCAACAAACATAAACATGGGCGGTCTGGATGCCATAAACTTGTTCATATACGAGAATGCAAACGACCTCCATGACTTGCACACCCCACTAAATGCAACAAAATCAATGACACCCAGTTGCATCATCACTAAAAACAGCACATCATGGGTAAGATCCGACCAAGATCGAGCACCACCACCACCATGTCACAAGTCATGATCATCTTCCTGCTACATGCATCACCATCATCATCATCATCATCATTCTGGATTCCAATCAAGCTCTTTTCCTTGGCCAGTATTCCTAAACATTCAAATAAAACAAATAATACACATGTGATACCTTAGCAAATATAAATACTACCCTTTTCAAACAATCGGACTTTACGGATTGTTGCAACAAAAAGAAAAACAGAAATATATATATTATCAAGCAAAACCCCAGAAAAAAAAATTATACAGAGAAAACTTGGAGAAATTTGTATGAGGGAGGGCTTTACCTGAATTCATGCAAAATTCAACACGCTACCTCTATGAATTCATGCTAAAAACACACATACAAACACACAAATGACAGAATTCATGCTAAAAGCATACACTCCCACCCCCACTTCAATGTCATAAAATATCGCATCGTGGGCAAGCAACCACAAAAATGCACATAAAACTACCCACACTAAAATTCCATCGGCTTGCCACTCCTAACTCCTACAATTCCAGATGTAAATCTCTTACAAATTTATCCTAATTAATACCAAGAAATAGGTACCCTAAAGTATTTTTCTTTGAGTTCCTAACATATCCAGTTCGACTAAACGGGACCCGTCGATTAAGTTACAAATTTGGTCCCTGTGGTTTCATAATACAGAGTGTGAAATCTGTTACAGCACTTATCTGCCATTCCGAGCCCATAAAATAACGTGTATTGAATCATCCACAGGTGATTATAGACATGGAAACAGAAAATGAAATCAACTAGATAACAGTATTCAAAGCGATTACCATCTCTTGAGCACAAAGAGGACATGCTTGCAAATCTGAAAAAAGTAAACAAACAACCGATGAGGAGTGAACTTGCAAAAACATCCAAATTAAGAACCCTATTACCATACCCTGTGGTAGTCGCAACTTTTTCTATCTTTTAGCATTGTTTTAAGTTCAGGTTCTTAGATTCTTAGTAGAAAAAAGAAAAAACTCAGAAGCTCAACACTTGAATTAACTTTTTAATAACTTATTGTTGACAAAACTTTCTTTTTTAGCGTAACAAATGGCGTTGGAATGGAGCATCTTTACACCAAAAATGATGTAAAAATGGGATTTGGTATGTGCCCTAAGCTCAGATATATATATAATATATATTATATATATATATATATTATATAGATATAATATATATATATCTATATATATATATATATATATATATATATATATATATATATATATAACCAACTAATTAAAGCCTCTTAAGATTCAGTAACTTTGAGGTAAGTTTATGGACGATAAGAAATAACCTAATACAAGAGCAGAGGAGGTTGATTCAAGTGGGTACCAAACAGCAACATTAAATATGTTTGGTTCCTTGTAAATAAAAACAATAGCATCCAGGCATCCACGACCACACAAAACAGACAGACGTATACCTACAGATATTCATTCATATGATATATCCCAGGCTACAAAGCTCAACTCTTTTTTTGTACGCTTGTTGAGATAAGAACACACAACAGATCTAGAAAATAATTCTGTTCTCTTCTCACCCGCTCCCAGCAAGCACCAAAAGGTTTTTAATTTGACCATGTTATTTAAATAAATTGGTTTGGCCTAAAGCTTGTACGAGCTAATGTCTAAACCCTAAATAAATTACCTCCGACACACACCCCATCTAATTAACCTAACTATAACTTCAAAAATAAATTTAGGGTTTACAAAAAACTAAAAACAAAAACAAAAAGTAGGTTAGAATACTCACATATTCTCAATCCCAAATTCTTAGTAAATGAAGAAACACAGAGGCCGAGATCCAGAGAGAGCCAAGGCTTTCAGGTTTGGCTTTCAAACGCGACCTTCGATTAAATATAGGTGAACGATTAAGAACGTTAATGTTGTTAAGCGAACCAAGAGAACCAAAAAAAATTGTCAAATACACAGTTCCTATGATGTCACTGCTTCAAGTATGATCATTGGATGACCATGATCACCTCGGGAAAATTGCATTGACCATGGTGTGAGGTAAGGCAGTTTTCTCATGTCCAATGTAGACAATCTAAACTTCCTAACATTCTAGGAAATTCATGTACGCTAGCATGATGAGAATGCAATTTGATGATGCCATTACGTATAGGATTGCGTAAATATTTTGGCCCATAAAGCTGAATAATAGTTTTGCAAAAATAATGGAGACTATCTCGTGCAATCCTAGCGGACATCCTAAAACTCTCGTCCAACGCATCAGGCATGATGCTATATTCTAATTGACGAAGTGCAACTGTGCATTTTTGTAAATGAGTGAAACCGAGTGTACCTCTAGCATCAGGATGTTGTTGGAAAAAATCACACCCTCATTAGATCTTCGACTATACGTTCGCACAAAGGTTTGAACATTCTGAAACACCTTCGGAAGTAGTACCCTTGAAAAGTAGCATTCTTTTGAAAGTAGTCTTGTATCAAGCGTTGGTTTGTTTCTTCACGATTTCTATAAATATATCTTCGGGTTCTTCGTTCAGCACTTCCGACTGTGCTACTCCATGCAGTTTCATACGTTTACTCCGCCAATTTAGCAGTTGCGACAACAACATCAAACATAACAGCAAAGTCTTCAGAAGAATCGAACGATGGCATTTTTAAATTTTTTTTATAGGAAATGTAGTAGAAAGATAAAAAAAATTGTAAAGGTTTGAGGTTTAAATAGGAATGTTAAAAGGTTAAAAGGGAAAGAAAAAGAAACATTTTTTTTTTAAATCTGAACGTTCAACGGTCAATTGGAATGAAAATTGAAAGAAGTTGGGGAGCACAGTGCGGCCTCCACCGCACCCCACCGCAGTGGAGGGGCGGTGTTTGTGATGATGTGGCAGGGGTGGTGCGGCCTCTGTCGTAGCCACATCCCTTGGCCTTATCGTTAGGTAGTCAAAATCGGTTGATGGTTTAATACATAACACAAATTCTCGAGTGTTTGAATGTGTAATACTGTAAAAGGAAAATTCAATTTTCAAAACATTTTCATTTATACTTGAGTTTATATCATTTAAGTTAGTCAATGATCAGACTAATGTGATCGACATTGTTCCCCATGATGGGAGCGTAATAATTGGGATACAAAATTCCATAGAGGAAGTTCAATGTTCAAACCTTGCGCTAAGAACAGTTGGATTGCTTCTAATGTAGCATGAGAAACAATATCATCACACTTCTTGAGCTTGATAATCCTTCTAAATTGTCTTAAATCTAGTTTAATATGTTTTTGTATTGATAAACCGGTTAAAAAAAATAATAATAAACTGGTAATATCTTGGTTAAAACTGATTTTGAAAAAACATGAAATTGTTATAAGTTTCTTTTTAACACATCGTATAAAACATAAATCAAAATGTCAAATAATCTTAAAAAATGTTCCAAAACTAATTTTAAAAACTAAAACATATCAAAATAAGTAGTTTATGTTTATTAGCAATTACAATTGCCTCAAATTTACTCGTCATATAATCGGCAGCATGGCATATTTAGACTTTAGCGTGAGTTGAACTAAAAAACATGTGTGGGATAGTTGTTTCTTAATTTATGTCAAGTGAAAGAACCTGAATTGCAAGCACACGTCTACTAACTTCAATTATACGGTATAAAGAGTAAAATAAAAGAACGAAAATGTACAAATTTAGATCTTACGTCTCATCATCATTCTTCACAGTTAAAAATGAAATCAATTCCTGATGATTTGTGATGTTAAGGCTGCTTTCTCTTGGAAATTGAAACAATTAGAAAAGTACAAAAATGTCATGAATTCAAAAAAGACTGAAATTGTTTACAAACATTGGTAGTAGACTTGCCTTCTCCAAGACGTGTTGGAGTAATTCCTCCAACAACAACATCATACCCTAGAAAAGAACCAAAAAAGTAAAAATGTTTTGAGATGATTTACCATTTGTTGCAAGCCACGACCAGAAGAAACAATATCTACAAAACCTTCCATGTTAGGTATAGTCTGTGGAAAAACAATGCATAATCAAAATATTAGAACCGACCATCGAGATAAATTAAAACTAAAAGTAATAAAAATCTTATTCTTTATTGGTGGAAGGATCCCATTCGTGTTCCACAACCGCGTTTGGTTCTCAAGTTCCGACGGAATTGGAATCTGAGATTCCATTCCATGGTTGAATTGTTTGAAAAAAGTCAAAAATTTTACTTAAAAAGAAATAATCTTTTTTCTTAAAAAAATAGATAAATTGGAGGGGATAATGATTTAACTAAAATATATAAATTAATTAATTTACTAAATTAAAATAGATTCTAATTCATAACTAACTATTAAACAGCAAAAATAACAATAAAACAAAAAAGGTAGTTATTGTGGGATTGGTCCCACTTCCATTTGTCCTTACTCTCATTATAAGGAATTGCTTAGCAGCCAAACTCCCTGCTCCACTTCTATTAAAGCCAACTTATAATGTTTTCTGTTTTTCATCTTTGTTCACTTTTCCAAAAAACTAATTGATTAACTTCAACTTGTATTCTTTATAAAAAAAACAAAAACAACCATAAAGTATTATATTTATTATAACTTAAATAGGAACAAAGGTTTAACAATTATAAATAACCTACAAATGCAAGACATCTTCAACCTATGTTCAATTCATCTATCTTGATGGCTGCTATGTACTCACTTTGCTTCAAGGAAGTAGAACAGGTATGCTCCCATGGCGAATCAAAATTGAAACTAAATAAAAAAAGAAATTGTAATGGCAGTGGTAGCAGATGGTGACGATAAACCCATCAAAAAATTCGCTAAAATACGATTAGAAAAAAAGGTCAAAAAAAATACTTAAAGTATGTTTCATTTTTGTTAGGGTGAATATCAAAGATCAAAAGAATATATTAATGCTAATTTTTCAAAATCCATAGAAACTACCAAAAAATATTTTGGATTT